TGAAGTTTCCAAACCGTCTTCAAGGGCAACCCCACGTACAAAGAGTGTGTTGCAGTAGTTTATTTGGGATGTAACCAGAGCGTGGACCACTGTGGCCAAGTCAGACTTCCCAATGTACGGGCGCGGCTGGCACACAAGTTTTAATTGCACAAAAGCTCTCCCGACCACTGCTGAGACCTAGGGCAAGAACACTTTTCCTCTGGGTGGATCTTTGTCTTGACTCTCGTGGCTTGTTCTTGGTTGTCTTGCAGCTCTTCTGATGTCTGAGGTGGAGTCTCCATTGGCCTGGAGAGCCCAGTTGAGGTGGTTCAGTTCATCTTGGAGGAGGTGGGCTTCGCAGATTCTTTTTGCACGGTCTGCCAAGGCTTTAATGGTGCTTCTTTTTTGACTTGGGTGATGGTTGGAGTTTTGATGTAGATCTCTATCTGTGTGTGTGGGTTTTCTGTAGACGGTGTGACCCAATTGTTGATCTGGTTTGCGGATGACTAGGACATCTAGAAAAGGCAGTCTTCCTTCATTCTTTTTCCATGGTGAACTGGATGTTTGGGTGGATGCTGTTGAGATGGTCCAGGAACCTGTTGAGTTCTTCTTCTCCATGGCTCCAAATGGTGAAAGTGTCATCTACATATCTAAACCATATCGTGGGCTCTGGAACTTTCTTGACAATCTGAAGTAAATTGCAGTTTGCATTGAATTAATAACCAGAAGTAGTGCTTCTGCTACAAAACCAGCCATATAGAATCATAGAATCATAGAATCAAAGAGTTGGAAGAGACCTCATGGGCCATCCAGTCCAACCCCATTCTGCCAAGAAGCAGGAAAATTGCATTCAAAGCACCCCTGCAACAGATGGCCATCCAGCCTCTGTTTAAAAGCTTCCAAAGAAGGAGCCTCCACCACACTCCAGGGCAGAGAGTTCCACTGCTGAACGGCTCTCACAGTCAGGAAGTTCTTCCTCATGTTCAGATAGAATCTCCTTCTCTTGTAGTTTGAAGCCATTGTTCCATTGCGTCCTAGTCTCCAGGGAAGCAGAAAACAAGCTTGCTCCCTCCTCCCTGTGGCTTCCTCTCACATATTTATACATGGCTATCATATCTCCTCTCAGCCTTCTCTTCTTCAGGCTAAAGAACCTGTTTAGTTCTTCTCCTCCATGGCTCCAAATGGTGGAAGTGTCATCCACATATCGGAACCATATAGTGGGCTTTGGAGCTTTCTTGACCATCTGAAGTAAATTGCAGTTTGGATTGAATTAATAACCAGAAGTAGTGCTTCTGCTACAGAACCAGCCATATGTCAAATGGATTCCTCATATGGGTCGCAAAGGTCAATCCTTTTCCTTTGGCCCATGTAGGATCTCTAATAGGATTTAAAGCCATCTCAACATACTAGGGACCCCAGGAAACATGACAGAGAAACTGTTACAGAGCCAAATTAATTTGTCTTGTAGACGGGACCAAAGCACCTGTGATTTTCTGTTTTCCATCTGAGCAAAGTATCTAATTAGCCAAGCAATTGGCCATCTGCTTCTCCTCTTGGATGTCCCTCTCTAATGTCTGAATTTATTTGGAAACTTGGCTGCCTACATTGTAATAGTTCTGGGCCCATCTGATTATTTTCAGTCTTTTGTAATCGTTTTTACCTTTTCTCTTACATTTCTTTCTGGAATTAATGTCGGGCTTTAAATCAGTGAGCAAGCCCATAGAGTCCCAGCTTGGTCTCATAAATACATCCGGCTGTGAGAATGCTGGACCAAGTTGCCTTCCTTTGAACCAGTGCTTGGAAAAGTTTCCAATTCCTGAAGAGCTTCGACATCATTCTCACCACAATCTGCCTATTAGGTTCCCATGCCAGTTCACAATTAGACCACACAAGATATGTCAGCAACCATTTAACAACCGTTTGAACATGATACAAGGGTTGACTGAAAAGTAATGCCTCCGCCTTCATCACTTGGGTTTGGATGGGAATATTTTAATAAATCAAACAGACATAATCCTTAGAATGTGCTCACATATTTATACATGGCCCTCATCATGTCTCCTCTCAGCCTTCTCTTCTTCAGGCTAAACATGCCCAGCTCTTTAAGCCGCTCCTCATAGGGCTTGTTCTCCAGACTCTTGATCCTTTGAGTCACCTTCCTCTGGACACATTCCAGCTTGACAACATCTCCCTTCAACTGTGGTCCCCAGAATTGGACACAGTATTCCAGGTGTGGTCTAACCAAGGCAGAATAGAGTATGGGGAGCATGACTTCTCTGGATCTAGACCAGTGTTTCTCAACCTTCCTAATGCCGCAACCCCTTAATACAGTTCCTCATGTGGTCGTGACCCCCAACCATAACATTATTTTTGTTGCTACTTCATAACTGTAATTTTGCTACTTTTATGAATCGTAATGTAAATATCTGATATCCAGGATGTATCTTCATTCACTGGACCAAATTTGGCACAAATACCCGATATGCCCAAATTTGAATACTGGTGGCTTCGGGGGGAGAGGTGCATTTTGTCATTTGGGGGTCGTAATTGCTGGGATTTAAAGTTCACCTAACAAGCAAAGAGGATTCTGAACTCCACCAAGGAGTTGAACTGAACTTGGCACACAGAACTCCCATGACCAACAGAAAATACTGGGTTTGGTGGGTGGGCATTGACCTTGAATTTTGGAGTTGTAGTTCACCTACATCCAGAGAGCACTGTGTACTCAAATAATGATGGATCTGGACCAAACTTGACATGACACTCAATATGCCCAAATGTGAACACTGGTGGAATTTGGGGAAAATAGACTTGACATTTGGGAGTTGTAGTTGCTGGGATTTATAGTTCACCTACAATCAAAGAGCATCCTTGAACCCCACCAACGATAGAATTGGGCCAAACTTCCCACATAGAAGCCCCATGACCAACAGAAAATACTGTGTCTTCTGGTGGTCTTTGGAGACCCCTCTGACACCCTCTCACGACCCCCCCCCAGGGGTCCCGACCCCCAGGTTGAGAAACACTGATCTAGACACTATGCTCCTATTGATGTAGACCAAAATCTCATTGGCCTTTTTTGCCGCTGCATGGCATTCCTGGCTCATTTTTTGTCTTTGCATATATATTCTGATCGTATTTCTCTGCTTTGAGGATTTTAGAAGGAGTGCTTCCCTGATGAGAACTTGAGATGCCCAGAACTGAACACAGTATTTTAGGTGTGGATTATTCTCAAGGTGGACAAAATGAAAGCACCGCTACCTTCCGTAATTTTTTCTCCTTTCTTCACGTTTGTAACATTGGAGAGATAGAAAAACTGAATATCATTCAACACCTAAAACTCTTCTAGTAGTAGTAGTAGTAGTAGTAGTATCACCTTTACCTATATTCCCATTCCATTGGTCACTTGGACTTCTGTGAGTCTTTGAATGTCTAAACTGGGTTTCCAAATGCTCGACTGAAGATTTAGGTTACAACAATTTCCTTTGGAGGTGCAGAGTTCTTATTTCGTGGGAACAGTGGACTTATGGGTTGTTGTAGGTTTTTCCGGGCTATATGGCCATGTTCTAGAGGCATTTTCTCCTGACGTTTCGCCTGCATCTATGGCAAGCATTCTCAGAGGTAGTGAGGTCTGTTGGAAGTAGGGAAATTGGTTTATATATCTGTGGAATGACCAGGGTGGGACAAAGGACTCTTGTCTGCTGTGAGCTAGGGGTGAATGTTTCAACTGACCACCTTAATTAGCATTTGATGGCTTGACAGTGCCTGGGGGAATCTTTTTGTTGAGATTAACTTCACAATTCAGCAGCAGATCAGTTGCACAACTTCAGCGCTTTCCAGTAGCTTCTTCCTGCACAGTATTTTCAGTCAACTGCTCCCACAAACTGCAGTCACTCTGGAACCTTTTACAGACACTTGAGCACATGCCCGGCCATTGTCAGTTTTACCATTGTCTTTCCCCTTAGTCTAGATGATATTACAGACTTACCACAGCACACAGTTATATCTTGTCTTAGCAGACAGGTTCTTTTAATTACATATAGTCTTCGACGAACAACATCACAGCACAAGGAGAAATATACACTGTACATGACATAGTGTCTAGATCTAGGGAAGTAATGCTACCCCTCTATTCTGCTTGGTTAGACCACACCTGGAATATTGTGTCCAATTCTGGGCACCACAATTCAAGAGAGATATTGACAAGCTGGAATGTGTCCAGAGGAGGGCGACTAAAATGAGCAAGGGTCTGGAGAACAAGCCCTATGAGGAGCGGCTTAAGGAGCTGGGCATGTTTAGCCTGAAGAAGAGAAGGCTGAGAGGAGATATGATAGCCATGTATAAATATGTGAGAGGAAGCCACAGGGAGGAGGAGGGAGCAAGCTTGTTTTCTGCTTCCTTGGAGACTAGGACGCAATGGAACAATGGCTTCAAACTACAAGGTCCCCCATGACCTTCTGGCAAGGAAACTAGTCCAATGTGGGCTAGGCAAAACTACGGTGAGGTGGATCTGTAATTGGTTAAATGGATGAACCC